ATCCCTTGCGGCTCTCATTAATCAATACAGCTGTTGTGAGCACTTTTCTATGGTTCTTATAGGTCCAGTTAGTCAACACCTCCTTAAAGAGCACAACGCGCTGAGAGAAGAGCAGAGTGAACTTCAGAGTCCCTCGTAATGAGCCACAAGAAAACTTTTCAAATGCGTATAGACTATTGATTTTGATTCAACCCTATTGAGCAGACTAAGTGACTAATAGGCTTATTTAACCACAGGCTACTTCAAACTATGTACAATACTTGTTTTTTTCTGCTCTCTGGAGAAAATAATGACCTTTTTTATTCAATTCTGCTCAGTTTAGGTAACAGATATTGTTGCTCGCTTTGCTAGAAACGGAGCCATAAAACACACAGTAAATAGGGAGTTTGACATCTTTTTTTGTTCTTTGGTTTCCTGCATAGGAAGTGATAACTACACAAATTAACTGCCACTGCTTTTCATATCAGAGTTTTAGACTATGGTCATTTCATCCTGAGGATTATAGATGTTTTGGACAAACCCTGAAATAACATTGAGTGCAATCTTGTAACTATCACAGTAAAGGTAAGCTCAATATCTGATAATTAGCTCAGTCATGGTTTTGTTATGTTTCCTAGTGTTAGATGTGGTAGCCATCTTGAATTGTATTGACTCCAAAGGTTAATCAGCTGTAGATGGACATCCAGCGATGAAGTTTTATTAAGATTTGTCCAGTGGGTCATGAAGTATTCTGGTAACAGACACAGGAACACTTAATAAAAGTCAATAAATGAATGTAGATCATTCCCCTCAGGAGCTGTTTGGATGTCAAAAAGGCAGTGAATAGACACGTTTTAAAGCCAGGACTCATAAATGAAATAGTAGCTCCATGAATTTTCAATAAAAATCTGCTTCTGTTGCTGTCAAAAGTAAACAAGGTGGAAACCATGTTGTTAAAACTAAACGATGTGACAGTTTATATATATATATATATATATATATATATATACTGACAGTTTATAAAGCGTGGAAATGAGCTGACACTGATGATGCTCTGCCAGAGCTGCACTGCAGCCCCCAACACTCGCTAGTTTCAGAGGTTTATTGCCTTCAGTCTTTGCGTATCGATGCCAAATTGGAGCGAGATCAAGTGGCGTTGTTACACTGTAAGATGTCATTGATTATCTATAGCTGTACAGAAAGAAACCCACCCGACAGCGTTCTCCTGGGGGAGTGAAAAATGCCACTCTGCTCAGCTTACGTAAACTCGAATGGCTTCATAAATCTCTAAGTTTGTGCTTTCTGAAGGTAATTTGTGCGCATCAAGAACTGAAGGCATGCATTTGTGGATTGCGTTTTTTTTTTAAAGTTAAATAAAGGTAAATTTATTACTATGATTTGAATCATCACAGTGACCAACCACTGCTGAAAGGTGAAAGACGAGAGTAATGTTTTTGCTGGGTCTGTGTTTGTTTGAATTAGTAAGATAAGATAAGATAAGATAAGATAAGATAAGATAAGATAAGATAAGATAAGATAAGATAAGATAAGATAAGATAAGATAAGAT